CCCTGACTCCATATGGTGCCATTTCACCGTTGGGTACTGTAAGTATCTAGTGGGCAGCATTTACAGATCACCTTCATGTGGAGCAGACCACAACCAGGTACTGCTGAACGCAATTTCAGCGACACATGACCTGGGTTATGATCAAACTGTCATAGCTGGAGACTTCAATGCCCCATCTCTTAACTTGATGACGGGATGTTCCCAGGACAGATTTGATCGAAATCTGCTGCATACCATCACGGAGGCCGGATTCACCGAAAATGTCAGAATGGATACTAGATGGGGCCCAGATGGGAAGTCTTCTAGACTGGATTACGTGCTCACTAGTGACCAGCTACTAGTGGAAAACGTTCAGATCACGACTCCCATAGGTAGTAGTGACCACGCGGTCATAGTATTCGACATAGTCCTCCGCGAGCGTTTACAGTGGGACAATACACAGCCCTATCTGTGTTATAACAAAGCCAATTACACCGAAATGCGAAGACTTTTGTCTGAAGCAAATTGGCCAAAAAATTGGACAGAGCTTACAGTAGAAGAACACTGGAGAGTGGTAAAGGAGATCATTCACCAGGCGGTCTCAGACACTGTTCCTTTGGTCACACCTAAAGCTAGAAAGCAACGTTCATGGCTAAAAAGGGGGACACAACGCCTTCTACAGGCGAAGAGAAAAGCCTGGTTTGCGTGGCGACTATCGCAGAGTCAACCCGAACATGAAGAGTACCTCGAACTCAGGAATCGGTGTAACATACGAGTCCGGAGTGATAGAAGGACATTTCAGAGAAACCTCGCCAATAAGCTTCTCGTGAACCCCAAAAGCCTATACAGGTTTATGTCTGAAAGAAAACCGACCAACCAGGGAGCTTGCAATATAGTGGGTTCTGATGGGAAATCTCTTACTAGTCTTGAAATGGCAGAGACATTCAGTCTAGCCTTTCACAGGCAACTGAACAGTAACGAGGATTTTACCTCCACAAAACATCAAGATTACAATGCAAGACCAACGTGCGAAAACCTGCTGGGTACATTTCAAATTACCCCGGCTATGGTACTCATAAAATTGGGAAAGTTGGCTTCGGGAAAGTCTGCAGGTTGCGACGACATAAGACCATCCGTCCTGAAGCAGTGTTCAGAAAGTCTCTGCCAACCCCTAAGCGATCTGTTTCAACACTCCTTTGATGTAGGGAAACTTCCATGTGAATGGAAACGAGCCATCCTATCCCCTATCTTCAAGGGTGGTGACCGGCAGAACGCGACCAGTTACAGACCAGTTGCGCTACTCCCAGTGATATCGAAGATATTGGAAAGTCTCATTGATGACCACATGAGAAAATACTTCGACGGGACTAACCTACTCCATGAAGCACAGCACGGTTTCAGGAGGGGAAGATCCTGTGTGACGAATCTTCTACTAGCTTGGAACGATTGGACACTATCCTGGGATGTAAAGGTACCAGTCCATGTGATCTTTCTCGACTTTGCGAAAGCATTCGACACAGTTCACCATGGTCTGCTCCTTCACAAAATAAGCAAAGCGGGTGTTTCTGGAGCACTTCTCGCATGGCTGGAAGATTATTTAGGCGAGAGAGAATTCTGCACCAAAGTCAACCGCATCCGATCATCCTGGCACACCTCGGCATCAGGGGTTCCTCAGGGTTCTATCTTAGGGCCGTTGATGTTTTTGATTTTTATCAATGACCTGCCCTGTCAACTGAATTGCTCTGCGCTTCTTTACGCTGACGACGTAAAGATTTGGAGAGCAATAAACTCATCGGAAGACTCCGACAGATTGCAGGCTGACCTGCAAACGCTGGGGGACTGGGCTCTGGCTAACGGAATGCCTTTCAACTTAAAGAAGTGCAAAGTAGTGCAACTTCATTCCGGCAGGTCACAGAGTGTAAATTACACCCTTGGTGGCCAGAACTTGAGTTGTGTGCCATCAGAACGCGATCTAGGCCTTATTTTAACAGAAAAGCTAGACACCAGTGTAAATTACACGAGGGACGTCGCCAAAGCTTACGCAACTTTACACTTTATGCATAGGCAGCTGGGAGCTCTTACTCCTGAACTATTCCTAACGTTGTATACGACATACGTGAGGCCACTCCTTGAGGTGCATAATATCATTGCTCCTCCGCTACTCAAAAGGGATGCTAACATTCTAGAAAGTGTCCAGAGACGAGCGACAAAATGGGTGATCGGCCTCCGCAACAAATCATATGAGGAGAGACTGAAGAAATTAAGTCTTTTCACACTTAGTTACCGTAGTCACAGGGGAGACCTCATCACCGTCTATAAGATCCTAAATGACCAGGCCCATCCTGATAAGAGCATCCTGCCATTAAGTGATTATAGGCTTCCACGAGGTAACCCGCTAAGGATAGCACACCAGAGACCAAGGACTCGAGTGCGTTCACATTTCTTCTCGCTTCGAGTTTGCCGTCTCTGGAACGCTTTACCGGCGGCCGTAACTACAGCTCCATCTGTGGAGATTTTTAAGCGGAAGCTGGACAATCATGCAGAAATGCATGGTTTGTGTCTCAATGGCTTATCCTCTTAAAATTTGAAACCACATTGTCAATGGACAAGCATACAAGCTAAATCTTCACGACCCGTCCTGTCTTCTCCCACTGTACCGACTACTCTATCTTTCTTTCTTTATCTTTCTTTCTTTATTATTTCACTTATCTCAACCTATATTATCTACACTACAACCTATTATTATCATTATCATTATTCTTATTATTACTCTACTTTTATGACTATACCGAATAACCGACGGGTGTTAGGTCAAACTCCATTCACGGCAGCAGCTGAGTCCTAACATACTGCACACTACAAACCACAATCTTGACCAATCCTCGCATCACTCCTCCTGGAGTCTACCAGAGCTAAAGCAGTCGAGTGGCGGGATTTACTACGCATAAGTTCACCGAAGATCTGGAACCTCTACCTTAAAATCAAGAAGCGAGCTCAAAGAAATCACTGGTTTATACTAGCTCGTAATCAGGATATTGGATATTGGACACGGGCACTTTAAAGTGTGAGTTGAACCGCTGAGTGTGACACACAAACTCGTAACCGTGTCAGAGCTTGTCGTCATTTCTGTAACAGTTTCACTACCTGGTCTGTGAAGGTACGTATTTTTGTAAAGCACTCATGTATTTTTATTCTTTCTCGTAATAAATTACACAGTTGCTTCACTGTGAAGCTGTGGTTCTTATAAAGATCAAATTCCAAGGATTAACAAGTGTTTTTTGATTCTACTTCCAATTTGTGGATCATGCCACATTTACTTCCTTAGCTAGTTAACTTGAACGGTTCCCACCTATTTGAGTATATGCGCAGGTACCTTCACTCTCTTGCTGTTCAGTTACAACTATAGCGCCCTACTTGCTAAAAGATAGGCCGCACATGTCGGTGTTAGAATTATTTGACTGAAGTTTTCACGGTGTCTGAAGTGTGTCCAAAGTCCATGCTAGCCAGGTGTCACCAAACAGGTGGGGATCTTTTACTGTTTATAGGCGTTTATGAGATGCATCTCACAAATTTCGTATAATCGAAAGAAAGTGGTTGTCTTGGTATGTATCCTATCGCATGAACTTTCAGGGTCGAACTGAGTTTTCGAAATTTGCGCAATGAGTATAGTTGGCAACTTTCTGTAAACTAGTACTAGTGTTATGATGCTAAATGATGGCAAACTCTAAGTTGTTACTGCATTTGTATTCGAGATTTTGGGGTCAGTGAAAGTTTTCCATGAAGGTTGAAGCACCAGTGAGAGTAATTTTCGATTATTATTTCACGAAGTCTTCCCAATTTTTCTGAAGTTCGGGATACCAATCTTGATATCTCAATGAGACCTAAAGTGGTTGATGGCTAATCAGATCGCTTCCCAGAGCTGATTGAATTAGTTCCTGAAAGATTTCCACTTAATTCCGTCTACGTCTCGGCTGGAAACTTACTGAGAACCAGTCTCGTCTGTACTCTTCGTCTCGTTGTTACATTTACCCCCAATTTTCACGAAACATCTTGGTTGAATTACGCCTTATACTGTCATTAAACTGACTAATATTTAGCACTGGACCGATAAACTTAACATCAACCTATCCATCGCTCAATCAAGTTTTAGCGATGCTGTGAAAGTGCTTGTAGTCTACAGTTTGTGATATGGAATGATTGCACGGATTGTTTAGTATGTGATTTGTGTTCTAATCCACTTTGTTTAGCTGTAGCATGTTAATTAAAATAGGAAAATTATTTGGAGAAGTTCAAGTTCCAAGTATGCTAATAGTTACATTTCGTAGGCGTGTGATTATACAGTGCTAGTCACAGTGTTGCAAATGCATTTACAGTCTGTTATCGAGGTAAATGTATACGTAATTTGGTCTATTAACATGTAACATTTAAACGCCATTCAATGAGACAGTAACATACATAATACTGATCAGAACTGCTTAATATGACAGTGACGTTTTCTAGTTTTTCTGTACGCAGCCGTAGTGTTACATCACCTAATACATATAAACTAATTTTCCTTTCTTTCCAGCTGGTTAAAGCGGAAGCTCAAATAAATTTGAATAGCATTTTTGGGAAGGAGTTAACGTGTGTTTGCAGAGTTTTCTTAATGAAGAGCCCACTTTCTTCAAATGTGTACGTCTCGAATGCAGAGGCTAAGCTTCTGAGGTTGAAAGGGAACCTAACTAACGAACTGATTACTTCTGAGATTAAGTACATCAGTTATCTTAAAAAAGTTCTAAAGGTAAATCCTTACCTTTCAATGATTGTGCCAGTACTTTGCGAGACCATTGTGTGATCATAGGTACTTACCGGAGGATATACATGCTGAGATATTTGGACGCCTGGTGCCCATTTTAAACGTCAACGAGACTCTTTTGGAGTCCCTGCTGACAGTTGGAGTTGAGAAAGCCTTCTTGAAAATTTCTCCGTGTTTAAAACTGTATGCAGACTATGCTCGTCGCTATCAGACAAATGTTGTCTTTATGGAGGTAAATTGTGGCAGATTACTTTTATGGAGTGATTGAAATAATATGATCCCATGGATTACTTTAAACACTACTCAATAGTAGAAACATTTATTAATGAGCTTATAGAGTATCCGAGTGTTAAAATAGAACAGGGGCGGAGGTAAAGAATAGTGATTGTAAATAATTCATATAAGAATCTTATAAAAACCGAACTTTTGTCTTCCATTGGTTTTAAGGTGTAGAGATGTGCGTAGATCACATAGATCCCAATGTCTTAGAACCTGTAATGCCTGACACTACTGACAATGAGGTGAGCGCACCTGAGATTTTCGGGAAGAATGGTACTTAAATTACCTCTCAGGATAGACGACTGGGGCATTGGACGGAACACTTTGTAGAGTAATCCAGCTGGCTTGCAGCCACATTAAACTTACCCACCATCGAGCACTTTCCTGAGTGGGATGTAAACATGGGTGCTCCAAATGTACTTGAGGTCGCGCAAACTGTCTTTAGTCTAGAACGAGGTAAAGTAGCAGGACCTGATGGTGTGGCTTCAGGGATGATGATGGCCCATTGACTAGGTCAGCTGAGTTGTTAGTTAACGTGCGGAAATCAGAGATAATACCGTTAGACTGGTGCAAAAAACCGATTGTCCCAGTTTATAAAGAGAGAAATAAGTCTTCACGAGGTACTCATAAAGGGATAAGCTCGACTAATATAGTATCTAAAGTTCTAGGCTCAATAATCATGCGGTACTTGCGAGGAACAAGTCTGGAATTAACCAGTCAAGCTTTATGCCAGAAAGATGGTGTATTGACCATATTTCCAACCTTCGACAGATTCTGGAAAATAAGAATTTTTACAGGCGTTCAACACTTGACTCGAAGACGCCATTTGATTCAGTCGACTGAGAGGTGTTGTGTAAATGTCTGGCCATTAGGGGAGTACTGATAAGGTGTATTGCACTAATCAAATTCGAAGTCATCCATGTTAGAGTTTGTGGAGAGTTGTCACGTGGAGTGATGACAACCAATAGTTTCCTTCAGATACGCACAATGTCTCAGTTTTTGTTTAGTACATGTACTAATGGATGTAACCCTAATCGTCTTTAGTGACCTAGTGATTGCTTTGTTACTAGTGAACAATTCCGTCAACTTGGAGTATGCGAATGATGCTGTCCTTCTGAATAAAGATGCTGACAAAGTGTGAGGTTTTCTGAACACCTTGAGGAGAAATCTTGGTATGTTAGGTACACAATTAGCTCGTGTTAATTGTAAGGAGATGATGCAAGACTGGTCTACATCGACTGTTAATTTGAGGATCGATAATGAAGTGGTTGAGCGTGTTAGTAAATTGCTATCATGCATCTTGATTCTTCGAGGTGTAATTCGTCAAAACGATGTAGCGAAGCACATAATATCACATCATTCATCTTTGTGGTTATAATGGGATTTGCGAGAGAAGCGGATTGTGAGAAGGGATTTTTGTTAACAGAAAATCTATTGCTCTATATGCTTTGCTTAATGCACATTTTAGTCAGACAGTTAGTATTCTAATATGTTTTACTGTGACTTGTTTTATTTCCAGACTTGTATTACATTCACACCTGGTCTACTGGAATTCATAAATAAACAAGAAAACTTACCAGATGTTAATTTGCAACTTGCTGCATTTCTAATCATGCCTATACAGCGTGTTCCCCGGTTAGTTTCCAATTTGTGAAGTTTTTCAGATGATTTGTCAGTTTACACCATACATTGATTGAGGTCTGATAAAAACTATCTAGGAGATGTAACCTTTGTGCTGAACACTATTGACCTGTGTAGATACAAAAGATTTATTCTGCATTCACTAAGAATAATAAAGAGAATAAGAAATTGTGAATGAGTGCTTCGACTTGGATTACTATATATGAGTACAATGCATACTTGATTCAGTATGATAACCAGTTTGTATGTGATAATCAGTGAATCGAATCTCAGTGGCAATCGTCACTTGGATAAGTTAAATCACATGTGTTATCATCTCAATTGCATTTAATGAGTACTTTAATAAAGTGAAAGTTTTGATTTCATAATATTGCGCCAAGTGAGTCAGTGGTTCAGTAGTAGAATGCTCGTGAATCACACACGCGGCCTGGGTTCGACTCCCGACCGCTGAATTCCCACACCTCACATATCTGGTAATAAGCCAGGTAAAGATGGAAGGATTAGTGTAAGACAAACCATCTTAAAGTGTAAGCAAAGACCATCGCTACTAAAACTTCAAAGCACGGACTTAAAGCCCGATGCTCCGCATGGAATGCAAAGAAATAAATGGTGGTCAGTGAAACTCGTATGTGCAACATAAGTCGTTGGGCGTTAGTTCATTAGGTGGCAGTGTATGTTCCATTTATTGTGTTGACTTCTTTGCCCTTCTCATACACTTGTTAAACATGTAATAATCCTTTTTCAGGTACTCCTTAATGCTTCAAGAACTCGTCACTATTTATCTGCAACTAGATGGTCTGACTAGTACTGAGGCGAATGATGTTGCTGTAAGTATCACTCAAGCCGCTCATCATGACAACATGATACCAGAATATGCAGCCACACTTATTTTGAAGTTGTGGGAAAATTATAAACAAAGGGATTGCAGTTCACCATCTAACAGTTCTAATTTTCCAGTCGTACGAAGTTATGTTCATCGGATGAAACCCTGTACAATTATTCTGTTGGCAGGTTTTGCTAGTGTTGTGTCAACAGCAACATTCCTGAATGAACAGATAAGAATAAGTGAACAGGCAACAAAGGCTACATTATTGCAATCGAGACTTTTGGGGAAATGGTCACGTAATTTAATTCTGGTACCTGGTCGGAGGTTATTAAAGTATGGAATCGTAAAGAAGGTAGGTTTTATGAATACGAAAAGTGAATTCTGTAAGAATATGCAGTAAATTAACAGGATTTTACTTTGGAATTATGATTGTATTGGGAAAACAATTGCTTTTGTTCTCTATGGGTTAGGTCTTCGAAGGCTCTTATACTTGCTAATATAATGTGGCATGATGCATTTCCTAGAAGCTATTTGGGATTCAGGTATACAAGTTTACTGTATAAACGCAGGACTTTCGAGCTGTGTGACGCTAATCACAATACTTAATTAAAGACTACTTGTCTTTGTGTAAGTTAAAATAAAGCGAAATGTGGTTCAATGAGCATATACGGATTACTTCAGTAAGCTACCTGCAACTGTTGTCTTGGGAGTGGTGATCCTGTTTAGTTGCTTAATTATCAGATAATTAGAGTGTTTAGGTTCATGAGCTGCAGATACAGTCACTTTAGCCTTGTATTCAATGGTATTTTGTATGTAGTTACTTTTGTTTTGTGTGATGTACATATATTCATTGTTTCCTTTGTTCTAGAAAAATTCATTGGATGGAGTGGCTGAACCTCGTTTACTGGTGATTCTGTCTGACATACTGGTGTATGCTACACCCCGAACTCAGACAGACTTGGAATCCATTTTCAGTAATAAGTTGGTTCTTGGTCGAAAATGTCCAGAATTTTTAAAATCGTTTTCTGCAGGAAAATCACCCTTAAAGTGTGTCAAACTTATGCAAAGGAGAAATAACGCAGATCCACTGACCCGAGTTTCCAAGTATTCTACGCCAGTTTGCTCCCAGAATTCTGTTTTTCAGAGTCTTTTGGATTCGGATGACTGTTTGACAAACAGTAAAGTATGCTTTTCATGTGTTTCTGTCTATCCCCTTCATCACTGTCGTATCCAAGTGAATTTTAGACCGTCGTCCAACTTTTTGCAACCTATTCCCGAGTCCCCTGAAAATCAATCAAATAAAACCAATTCAGTGTTTGTTTCCCCAGGATCTACTGTGAATTTTCATAGTAAGTGTACATTAATTTCTTTAATGAATTATTGGTTTGAATATCGGCTTCATTTTTGATTTGGCTTTGCATGTATTTACTTTCGGAATGAATGGGTTCTGTCAGACCGAAGGCTGATGAAATCAAAGGGTAAGTAAATAAGACTCTTTTTGAATTTGACAAGTTGTGTGATATGTGAAACTTAAGATACGTCTTCATGTATGTTATAGATTAAACTCAGAATGCATCGATCAAGGGGTTCGAATTTGTGATTGTACAGCATTCTTTTTAAAGACAGAAATATGTGAAGGTTGTTCATTGCTGATGAAAGCATTGGGTGAGTTCTGTTGAACTCAGGTGTAGAAAAGTGAAGGGATAAGGCAGCTCAATTCTTGGTACAGGCAACTTCCAATGACTGCCTACGTCAGGTAGCCATAACGGGTATTATATGATTGCATCACAATAGTCTATTAAATTTGTCAGATGCGCATTGTGTTTCCTGTCTACTGTATCAAGGGTTAGAAATCAGTTTCTCAGTGGCTTCTTTCGTACATGGGAAAGTCGGTTTGAAGTCGTAGGAATTAAACTATTTTGAGGGAGGTCGCTGTAAAGCTGCTTAATTTCGATTCAAATCAAATACGTTGTTTGATTTTATTTACTCTGAAATGATTTAAATTGGCGTTTCTGTTTTTCAGATCGTACGGCGTCTACACCACTTGTATTTGATGAATGTTCATGTGATGCTTCTCCTGTGGTTAAATTTAATAAATTTGATTCATCAATTAAATCCGATAAAGATGAAGGGTTGTCTAAACCTTGTCAGTCCGTGAATGAATACAGTTTTTCCGTAAGTCTTATTCAATCATGGGATATATTTTGTTTCAGTTCATAATAGCGGTGATGGTGCATTACGGTTAAGTAGTCCATTTATTGGCTCCAGTTTGATTTTTGAAGAAAGAAGTAGAGGGAAATGTAGAGTTCACGTTTTGTTGTTTACTTGTCTCTAGTATATCGGTTGGGATGTATCATTTTCCCTACCCTTATAAATTAGGTGTCCATTCTACTCTTATTGTGTATAATGTATGATAATTGATATATTAGATTGTTGTTTCATGTCATTCTGAAATACCTGGATATCATGAATTAAAAGTCGGTCTTAAGGGATGATATTCTTTTCATTAAATTCTCTTTAGGTCCTCACAGTAGTTATCACCACTGTCTGACTGACTGGTTTCAGCATAGAACTTTGCACCGATGTGCAGCAGTTCGAGTTGCCACACTTCACCTGGCACACAAAGCAAGAGGAGAAAGTAAGAAGAAATGCAAAATGGAGACAGCAAACAGAGATATGAGGCAAAATGAATAGTAGTATCGAAGAGCCATATAGTTTTATTGGATATTATAAGTCACACGGAGTGGATGCACCTGCACTAGCCATTGAGAACGATTTTGAGCCATATCACCAATTATCTCCAGTCGCTGGTTTTTATCGTCCCGAGGGCCCCAACCAGGAAGTCTACACTTTTCTAAGTTATCACCGCAATCGGAGCGAGGAATTCGGTGAATACATTTTGAACATTGAGTATAAAAGTCATCTGATTTTAAATCAGTAGACGCATTCTATGTGACGAATGTTTTCACATACCACATACCTGCCTATTGTTGCAATTTTGAAATTTACTCCATAACTGTCTTTAGGGAGGTGAAGAGAATTTCGATGAAAAGAATATTCTTTATGCAGTTGAACTACTAGCTTATATCACGCTATAGTTAGCTATTCGATTATGTATCTATTGTCAAGTGATCCTATTTGTCACCAGTTTGCTAGCAAGTAAGGATCATACTCACTCACTAACTTTAAACCAGAAAATTAGTGAACCCAGTTGGATTTGTACAACACCTGTCCATACCTAGCTGTCAGCCTTTCTCTTAGTCACACGAGTTGATTTTCGTACCAATGAGGTCTATGTTTTCGTTGTTATCTGATCAGTCCTGCTGCCTCCTTACCTCGATTGACTTCTTGTATCACATCCAGTGTGATCATAACCGCTTTTGCTTTATTCAATGCTTGTACTTGTTTTCCTAGTATTATCGTTGGTAGTGCAGTTTTATTTGGAATTTATGTAATCAACTCGCAACTATGGTTGATATTCTCGACTCAGTTCTAATTACAACCTCTCCACATTATGCTAACTTTTATCTTACATCAACCCGTTACCCGAAGTGAAGCTATGTAACTGTCAATTCCGAAGTGTTAGTCATAGTTTACCGACCAGTTTGGCAATACGGCGATTCAGTTGGGTGATACAGTAGTGCATTACTTCGTGTTTAGTGCTGGATGTCATGAGTCAGTGTCTCATTTCAGTCGGTTGTTTGCATCTAAAATCTCTCCTTTGGATAAATTTACTTCTAAGCATAGGATGTATTCGTCTCTAGAGAGTCTGTATGTTTTCTCTTGTAACTTTCCGTTTTTGTTTATAATTTTGAGTGAGGATGATTTTCGGTTACTGAGCAGTGAATATTTCTTGTAGGTACATTGTCGTGATGCTAGTTTCACAATTGTTACTAAAGATTTAGCAGGAGCCGAGGAGTGGATATCTAGTCTCGAGACAGCCATTGAGTAAGTTTCATTCTTCTTTGTACTTCGATTGTAAACCGTGGGTATTTGGCGGTTGGTATAATGAAATCTACTTGTAGTTTGAGAAATTGTCGAGTATTTTCTGAGCTTTGACGTGTAATTGTGTTTTCTTCAGTCACAAATTGACGAAGAACAGCCAACAGCCTCATGCTCATACGCCTTTAGATATCCTGTATGTTATTTCATAGTTGTGTAGATGTTGAGCCGAGGCATACAATGAGTGGGTTTATCTGGCAAATAAACGGCTTAGTTTGTAAATGCATCATGAGGGCTTTTGACCTTTATTGTTAGTAAATTGCAAGTGATTCTGTGTTAATGGACTATGTTCTGTTCATAGTCATGTAGCTATGTTTGCGTTCAAGTGAGCATAAGAATTCCTGAGTCTCGTACAATGAGAAAATGGTGTTGAATAGTTGTCTTTTGCCTTTGAATAAATGATGTATACGTGAAACGGAGAGTTATTTTTCAATAAGTCCAGTGATAATACAATTGAGTTAACTGGGTAGTAATAATAAAAACGATCTGTTTTCAGTTTAAACACATAGAAGTTTTGTTTGTCTGTAATGTTGTGGTAGTTATGTGTCGCATTGTATTGAACCAGTTGCACACACAATAGGGAGACAGAAGGAAAATCATGCTGTCAAAGAGGGATATGGGTATGGTAAAAGAAGAAATTATCGCAGCCTTTCTGGATCAGAAAGATAACGAGGAATGGAGACATGAACTTGTACCGCGTTTCGGTCTCACTACCGCTAGCTGTTTCATAATCTAATGCTGCTTCAGCTGACATTTCCAGGCCAGAATGGCGATGGATTGTCATGGGTGGTACGTGTCCCAACTACATCAGTCTATGAAGTTTGGCAGCTTCATTGGTTGATTCGTCCTTCTCTTACTCAAATACACCACTCCTAATCTTAGTGTTATTTACTGCATTGCTTCAGGTAAAGTCAACAACTAAATGAAAGCATTTGCGGTAAGAAAAACCTGTGAATTTTCTTGTTTTACATTCAGTAATAGAGTGGCGCAGAGGGGACTGTACAGGTGAGGTTTGATGTATGGCTGGATGTTAACCGAGTTGACACAAGTTGGAAAATTCCAAGTGATGTGTTTGTAGCCGTGACAAGAGTTTGCGAGTTATCAATCCATGTAGGTTGTCTCAACTTCCTAAATGAGTGAAGTGGTCAGTGTATTTATTGACCGTTCTACTCTTAATCTGTAATCCATAATTCGGTATAGACCAGTCATGTAAGGTTGTCTTACATTCGCTAGGAAGTGTATCGTGTCAAACATGCTGAAGTTTTGTCGAGGTTTTCAACAGACGATGTCCTATTGATGTATCCTTAGGGGACACATATCACATTTTGATTTATTGATTTATTTACTAACTTGATGTGATCCTTTCTATTACTTGTAAATTATTTTTTCTTGCCTTTACCTACTCAGAGCTGTTAAAACAGCGCGACGGAGTCTTCGTAAGGAAAGTAGTGCTAAGTGGCCAATGCGTGCTTCAGATTTTATTCAGTTTGAACAGTGGTTGGAGCAAAAGCGGTCAGCTGAAGAGGTATGCAGCATTTAATTTGCAAGTTGCCCAAAATGTGGTGTTGTTGATAGTTTTATTAATGGTGTTATCGAATGAAATTTTATAAACGCGTGTAAAGTATTATCATCACGGTAGAGGTATATGCTTTTTATCCTAAGGGTGGAGTTTCATCTCTTCGAAATATCACACTTAGGATGAATGCAATGTAGTGTTGTGGGTATGAAGGTAAAGCTGCAAGTTAGAATGAAGAGCCTTTTCGATGCTCAGTAGCTAACGTGAGTTGGTGAAATCCTACTGTTTTGCAACATCGTAAATTTGTCGGTACCTGTGCAGTTTATCAGTCATAATATGGATATTTTAGAAGGCATTGATAGGGGAACATGGCTGTACTGCGATGGTCGTTTAAAATGTAAGACGTGGGTTATTTGATGGTGCATCTTCCATAGGAAACATTGAGCATAATTTAGTTTCATTTCAAATTGAATTGTCGGTGTGTGGCTAAAAATGGAACTATTCTAAATGACGATTTGACAGTTTCATTCTTATTTTCCTGTTTTACGGGGATTTTATCACCGCTGCATTTCATGATTATTTCATTTTCCCTCAATGTGCACTATACTAGTGTATTTCAGTAGCGAACTTACTTTAGGAGAAGAAGAGAAGACGCATCTTTGAAATTTTAGTCGTCATTCGCATTGATTCTGTTTTGATTTTGTGCAACGCGTGAACTGCCACTTTTGAGTAATCTGGTATTGTATGATTAGGCTGATTTGTTATATTGCATATATTTTAATAAATTCTTAATGTCACTTTGATGTATAACACAAGTGAGATGCTTTCAGAAACCAGTTAACCTACTTTTACCTTTTGGTATGATACATTTAGTCTATGAAGTGTTCTGAAATCTTTCAAAGTATGGGAGTATCTGGGATCGCTGATGACAGTGTTCTTGCATCTTCAAATATTCTTGACTGTTCGAAGGTGGAAAAGAAACTTGAAGAGTATCGCAGGCGTAAGTCAATAGGTTGTGAACATGAAAGGATCAATCGTTTGTCTTACATATTTTGTGACAGTGGCAGTTACGAATTTAATCGGAAGAAATCAGAGCGAAAGGCGTCCTGTGGAATTTCTCTGAGTTCAGTTATATCGAGACTAAGGAGGAAGACATTCACTCCCACTGATGAAGTAAGTTAATTTCAAGCCATGAGATCTTTTGCGGTTTAACATATTTTCATACGATATTGCCTTAAATACAGTTTTCATATATTGCTTTGTTGTTACTTGTAAACATATTTGCTGAGTTTCCTGGTGTTGCTGAGTCGAGGTATTGGTAAAACAACGTGTGATGTTTTCAACACTGTTTTCATGACTAGTCTTCCTCTACTGCAGTGTTGTCCTTATCCTTTGATGTTTGCACACTTACGTTTTCTCTAGGAATTGAGTGTTTTCAAACTACTGCTTTTTGAATAGGCAAGTTGCTGAGCTCTTATCTAGAGGAATTCGATGTCGACAGTACTGTTGATGTGGGATGGGGATGAAGACCTTTGTTGCATAATTTTATGTAGTGAATTTACTGTGATGACATTTCGAATTATTTAATGCTTTCGATTATTTTCAGATATCTGAATATTCAGACAGATCTGTTCGTCTGTTGTCTGTAACCACTATTTCAAATGAGGATGAAATTGGTTCTAGTGGAGTGAACTCTCAAAGTCAAGTGAATACTGATAGCCGCCGTCGTAATCAAGTTGAGGGGGATTCACCTTCTACTTGTGATATGTAATGGTGAGTAGAGTTTACTCAGAATATTGTATATATTCATGTTGAGGTGTGTTTTTGTTTTCATGTGGTGAGTATCATTTGGGTATTTTGGAAAGATTTTTAACGTAAGATTACTCGGAGTAATGTGATGCATTGTTGCATAACATATCATATCATTCGAAGTTGCTCATTTTCATTGATTGTGAGAAATGGCTTTTAACATGTATCCCTTTGTTTTACGAAGGTATGTCTTTCCTGTTGGTTAATGTATGTATAATTAAGCTTCTTTACGATGATCATCTAATGGCAGTTTGTTTTCTGTTTTGAAAAAAATCAAGACTACTGTTTACAACTTTGGGTACATGAGTGACTTTGAAAGTCTATGGAAGATTGTTAGAGATCTTGGATAATACGCTGTTTTCTTATATGTGCCTTATCTACTCAGTTGTAGACGAGAAATGCATGTCGAGATCTATTTAAGGACTTTATAGTTAGTATGGTTGATAATGTTGTTGGCTGTATTCCTCGGTGTAAAATGCAGTGTCCACTCGGTTACTTTTTGCATGCCTACATTCATTGACAATCGGTTGTGTGCTTCATTCGAACAAACAAGTGTATTGTAAAATGATATCACTCTTATATACTTGTTCCATGTTTAATGAGGTATAGGAATCGGTGTTTCAGTACCTATTTATTTATGAATCCAAAGATAGTTTAAATCGAAAGAATTCGTTTTCAACTGGTTTACACTAAAAGCTGTGTAACATACATCAATGAGCCTTGCTTGTATCGAGTTGTCCGTAGTAGAAAGACAGCTTTTATGTTTCAGGAAAGAAGCTACTAGGATGTTATTAGATGATTCCCCACATTCCTGACTTCATTTTTAATACACGTGAAATATGTGCGATTGTCATGAGAGCATATGTGTAGTAATTAATCAGGGTTATGAGCGAAGAAGTATTTATACGGATGGAGTTTGCGAAATGGTTTTAATCAGTTAGCCGAAATCCACGATTGGTTAATATCTAATAATAAGTCATTTTTGCATGCACTAACCTCTAATGAAGCTTGATGATATATAATTCAGAGAATAGTGAATGTTGAATCTGTAGTTCAGTATCCTGAATCCATTTCCTACATGAAGCAGATAAAAAAACTGAGTTGATCAATTCAGTTTTGGGTTGAGTAGTGACAGTGGTATTTAACTAGACATAGAAGAGAGTTGAACTACTAGGTGTGTGCAGAACACCTCAATTATACGCAGTATTATTCACAATGAGTAATTTACAAAATTTCGATAATTTAAAAGTTTGTGAGTGTGGGAAACTTTGACAGAAATTTTTCATTAGCGTGAGTAAATGGTTCTTAGTCTTCCCTCCATCTCTCCCTGTCTGTTGATAAATAATTTGTGGATCTGTTATGTTTGTGTGTGTGATGTTGCTTAAACTTCCTCATCTCACTTTAAATGTTTGTATATTAACGATGTGTGTTTGTGTGTGTGTGGAGAGCACAAATGATGAAGGCTTGCTTAGTTAGGGTGGTGTGAGATTACACCACTTGAGTAGAAAGTGTTGATTAAAAAAGATTGAATTGTACTCAGATAAGATTCTTGAAGAAGATGTATGTTTTCTTTATTTGTGAACTTTTCTATGGCCATATTGCTTAATTAGTCTAGACATGAAAATTTAGTGTTACGTAAGTGTTGTGAGTGAATCCAAAATTGTTATCAAGTGTGTAGGATAGTTATAGAAATCGATTTAAATGTTGGTTAGTTAGAAATTGGTTAGGGGAGTTCATATTCTTTCGTAAGTATGTGGGGAGAAATTTTTTTCTGTGTTAATGTGAAATGTGATTTTTTCAAAGTGCATACTCTGAGTTTAATTCACTCATTAGCTTGAAAATGTGTTGTAGTGAATTCATGTGAAATTACCTTAGTTTGTTAGCTATGTTCGACAGTTTTACAACTATCATTTGTGAATGAATACACAGTTGATTTGATAACAAGTGTCTAGGTTAATGACTGTATAATGGAGATGTAGGTTGATTAGTTCAAGGAAGTGACTTTCAGTCAATGATTCCCGAATTCGAATCCCACTTCACCTACTTCTGCCTCAGTGAGTGGTTCATAGTTCTAGTGTGCATACAACAAACGTGTCTCATATTATGAACATAAAAGCTGTGTTCCGAGTAGCTGAGGTAATCGATACCTATTTAGAATGCTGTTTCTTATTACTGCTACCCCTTTGTGAGATATTCCAATCATGAAAAGTAGGCCATAGAAGATAGAATGCCTCTTTCTTCTCAATATCTCGCTTTTGTTTCCTTACTCATTAGCGTACTAAACTTCGTCGACTTCATTATGCCTATGGTAGTTTCGCATCTGTATGTTTCAGACGGAATTTCGTTTGCTTTTGTCTTCATATTCGAATTGTATTGAGACTCTTGATATAATCGAGAAATCGAGGATAGTCTGGGGTCTGTTTTACATGTTACCGATTAGCTTTTACTAGGCTCATAGCATAGATAATTAGTCCAGACATAGTGATTCTCCTTGAAAACCACGATATATTTCAATGTAAGATTGAAATGAAATTTGGTTTGCATGCATTCATTCTACAGGCGGTTGTGTCTGTACACATGAAAGATTAACGATGTGAAGTTGATGCTGTAAGCAACTAATTTCTGTTGTTGAGTATATAAAAGTTGCATGAAATGTTTGTTTTGTTGTGTGTTGTAGCACAACACATTAGAAAATCACAGTTTAATGTAAGTAGATTGAGATGTGTTTATAGAGTGAAATTTGAGGAAGACTACTTGATTCGCGAGAGCGATTAAGACAGAGGTGGTGATCTTCACACTTCTTATTACTTGGCTGTTTAAGGCAAGCTTCATTTGACTGAATGAGCAGTTCTCAAATAGTTTTGAGCTACAGTATTTTAGTTGTTGTTCTTTAAGTTATTTAGCTGTAAGTTAGTAAGTGTTTAGTTTCCCCAATTTTCAAAAGATGGTTGTGTAAATTTTTCTATATTAGATTTTCAGACTTGATGAGTGTGAAAAATAAAGAGATATTTGTCCATTCGATTACATCGATGTGTGGACAGATTTTCTGAGTTACAAGACGTTTCTGTTCAATAAGTGTAAATAAGGTGAAACATGTACACTGACTCTCATTGTTAGCCAGCATCCGCCATGGCATAAATTTCAACAAACTGTTTATACATTTGGTTTACAGTGAGGTTGTCACGCACTTTTGGAGTGCTTTGGGGCGTATACCGATTGGTTGTCCTATGGGATTTGTAAGTACATTTCGAGATGATTTCAGATGACTATTTGTCCTTTTGTTGTAAATGAGAGAAGAAGACGAATGGTGCATCATCAAAGGAGGAAGCATTTAGGAGTGGAATACGCATTCTGATACGCGTGTCTATTCATCATTTACTGGATGCTCATTTGTAGATATCATCTTTCGAAGACTTCTCGCATGATGTGTGTTTCACCTGATGTGGTGCTTCACCTTCCTTGAGTGGGCGAGAATGACTTTGCTGTCTGTCTACATTTTGCAAAGATCACTTCAACTAATTAGTGTTGTATTTTATTGTGACAGATTTTGGAAGATAACGACTTAATCTTCGAGACATCACATTTGAAGCACTTTTAAGCTTCTTTTCGTGTATTTGGAATCTGCATACGAAATCTGGTATTATCCTTATCACTGATTTTACATAAACTCAGACAAGTGTTGCAAAGTTATGTTCCACCTCACTAATGTGATTGTGAATTGAGAGCATGAAGAAAGTGATATTCTCATCTGACTGAAGTGATCTGGAGTCTAAGGGAATAATCGAATATGTTCTCTGCTGCATACAGATTTAAGACAAGGCAGGGGAACAGTGTTTGGAAGGTTTAGTGGGTTGATGCAAAAAAAAGCGGATCATGGGGTAGAAATACCTTATGGAGCTACTTTCCTTGACACATTTGAATAAGGCAATAAATTGGGACCTTCAACAGGATGAGATGTATTCACTTAATTTCATATGGTGTCCGTCAGCTGCATATAAGCTGAATAATAAAATACCTGGTTAGTGTGTATATCACACTTTACGCATACTTTAAGTGAATTGCGAGTTTATTTCATAAGAGTAGAATAACACTGCTAGAACGGAGACGAGAAAGAAATGACTGACATAGGAGGGTAGAATAATCAATTATGACGGAAATAGCGACAGTAGTATATTGTGAAGAGAAGAATGCCTTGGACATTGTGGGTAGTTGACATAAATGGAGATGGTTGCATAGCCATATGAAGGGATATTGAAAGGAAATGAAATAGGTGAGAGACCACAAAGGTGCTAATGAGATAGATTGGTAAGAAGAAAGATGAATGCAAGTTTGAATCAAGTTGTATGATAAGGCTTGGATGAAATTTCCGATGAGTTGAGATGAGATGAATGAGTCAGTGCTTGCCATGGTAGTAGTAGTAGTTAGTAAGAGTGTCTTTGTGAGCACATAATTTGGGCTCTTTTGCTCAAGTGGCGATAGCTTGAGCAGTTTGAAGAATGAGTTTGGTTTGTAGGAATGTTTTCAGTTATTTTCCACTGTCAAGCTTTTGTGAATGGTGTTTGGAGATTGATAAATTATTATTAATTTGCTTACACAATGAGTGGCTTAAATGTGAACAACATGTATTTCGTTACTGAGTTGGTTTTATTATGTTTTGTTTGCAGGCTATTATACCTGAAAACGTTTCGAGTGGATTTTACTGTGTATTGGAAGGGCATCTATCTATGAGTAGTGAATGCATTTCAAAGCTCTTCTCATCACTTCTGTTATCCTCATGTTCACCAAAGAAGTAACATTTTGAAAACAATTAGATTGAATATGATTATCCTGAGTGCTTTGTGTCAATTATATTCCACTTAAATTACTTTCAATATTTCTATGTGAATATAATTTCTGCTCTATATGTGAACAATAGATGATATGTGGTCGCACACATCTATTGTGATATCTTCATCAGTCAGT